TCGAGGCGTCTGCGCTCATTTGCGCATGTCCTCCTTTTATTTCGTTTCCGATGTGCGTCGTGCCCTCCTGTCTACGCGCGCACAAAAGGCCTGAGAATGTCCCATGAGAAACGATCATCCCCCTTACACTATTTTCCTAAGTGAAAAACATCGCTAAGACTCGAGGGTTTACAAGTCGATGATAATAAGCATCGGATTACATCGAGAGCCGTATTTGTTGCAATTTTGAAGTTAAAACGTGTAGTAGACAAGAAGCAAAATATTTTCAATAAAGATTGTCACTAATCGAAGCTAGAAAACCCACTTCGGCAATATGAAGTTTTCAATTTTGTACGCAAATAAGCAATTCTAAAGTGAGAAGTTGAATGACGCGTTGCCTGGCGAGTAATCAACAAATCGATTCAAATGCAAAGTGGTCCAGAAGGAACAAAAGAAGCAAAATGATTTTCCTTCGAGTTGGTTCGCACGAGCGGATTCGACGAAAGCGCGGTCACGCCTTTCTCCATTACGGGAAGTAACAAGCAAGAAGAAGTTCGGGGCAATCGAGCGTTCGTATTTGGAGACTGTGGGCTTGTTAATATTGCCAAAGAGCCGACCGCCGCTCTTTGAGACGTCTCCCTCAGTGGGCCAGGGCTTCGCGCGAAATTCGCCGGTCTGGGTTTGGCCTTCGTGGCCATGCCAAGAAAGAAGGGACAGGACCGACGACGAAGGCAAGCGAGATGAAGATAGGGGAGCGAGGACGGAAGGAGGGGGCGAAAAAAGCCGGGACCGAAGGGAGCGAGGGCACGAGAGAGAAATGCGTGGGAATTGAACCATGTGGTCGGCCGACTGGCTCGCGAAATATCGCGTTGCGAAAGTGCGCGCGCGCGCGCACACACACGCGTACGGAGACAATACACGTACACGAATTACCGGTACACGTGGAGGCGGCGCGTACGAAACCGGTGCACGTATATACCATGTTTCGAGGTCACGGGGAATTTCAGAAAGAATCGCGCGCGGGATAATTAGACCGCCTTTCGTAATGTCGTTTGATAGTAACCGAGCCATTGAGTAAATGGCGCTTCGAACAAAGCTCGCGATCTAACGTATTTATTAAAATAATCCTTCCACATACAATGGAAGTAGGCTTCACTACGTGCGCTCAAGTAAAAGTGCGGACAACGCCGCACCAAGCGCCGGAGCGTTATGTAAGAATAACTGTACGAACTGTTAATGTATTTGTTCAATAAGAAAATTTTCCCCTCAAGTTTTATATATCTAAAAATAAGAGTGAATTCGTCGTATTTTTACGACACGGAGAATAGAGAAGGAGCAGTCGATATGACGAATGTAAAGACGGGCGTGCACGTACGGACGTACGTACGACACGTGCTCGATTACGCAGCGCGCTGCGACTTGCGATCAGCGCGAGATCAGCTGTTAGTTCACACCGCCAATTACGAGTCACGCGACTCTCGAGGTTCTTGTCCCGACTGACACACATGCGCATTGTATGCCTACCTTTAATCGTCTCACGAGGCACCGCGGCGTTTGGCGCCTCGTCTCCGTCTCGTCACGTCTCGCGCGGTCCACATTCCCCGCTAAATACCCGATTAACTCTTGACCCCCGCGTGACCGCGTTGTCCGAGCGCGGCGTTGCGCAATTTTTGGTCGGGTGCTATTTTTGAACGCGCCGGCGGAATGTTATTAGCGCGGCTCATTTCCATGTCTGCTCTCTGCTTTCCCAACATATCCCCGCGGCATCTCAAATTCCTGCATCGCTAATCTTCGATTCTCAACACCGAATATCTTAATTGACTTCGAGCGACGAATCTGTCGGATTAAACCTGATTCAAAGTCAATTAAAGAATAAAATTTGTTTACACCTGTTTAAATCTCGGAAATTTACTTAAAAGCCAAAATGCTCTTCATTCCTAAAATTATCCATGTCCCAATATGTAAAAAAGCAAAGTAGCCCAAATATGAAAGCGAAAGAATTCGAGGACAGAGAATAATTCAATAAATTTCAGATACATTCCCCTGAGGATATGTATCAACGTTTCGTCGAGAAACGCGATTTTCGTATAATCGGCTTACTTAATAAGTGTCTGCGCCGTGAAATACTCGCCGTAGTCCGTTCCCACGATTGACCTTACTTCACAAAGGTGGCACAAAGCTGTAGGGAACAAGTTCGCAGGTAGAGATTTACGAGGGTCCGTATTCATGCCCAACAGCGCCAGCCGTCTGATACCGAGTTTTATTTTTCCCCCGTACGAATTTCTTTTTATATTTATTAATATAGATCCAGAATAATGTAATTCTCGTTTGCGATGGAACGCGATTGAAAAATTACGACATTACTTTACGAAATGAATTAATGAAAGAACAAAATAACGCAGAAAAAAAATGCTGTTACTGAAAACCGCTTAACCATGTTTCAAAAAATTGAAAATACCGCAAACGCTTCGATCTTATTAGCAGCATCGTCTCAAATGAAAAGTCAAGTAGATATATATACTTTACGTTGGAAAATGAGTCACGAGTAGGAACTCGAAGACCGATCATACGGTCGGATTGTCCGCATCAGCTGATACTTGATGACGTCATCGTCAGTGACAGCAAAAAAAAAAGCTAAACGAACGCTATTACATAACAGTGGGGGCTAACGATTCAAGTCCCGGCATGACTAAGCGAACGATCCAAACCGATTGTGCGGAGATTTAGTTTTACAGCGTGGGATCGGACGCCGACTTTCACGTAGTGAAATTGGCCGGAGCCAAAGCGCGCAGCGATTCACAAAAGCCGCCGACGGCGGGCTTGCGTAATGTCGCGACGCGCAAACGCAAGAGAAACGATTGAGCTTTATTGACGAATTCACCTTGCCAAAGAGAGGTAGGTCGTCGTTTCCGGTCCACGTGTCAGCCTGACCCGGCTCGACATCGTGCGTGTTGGCCCTAATGTAATAAAACTCTTCCGGTCGGATGGTACCGCCGCCTCAACTCGCTTATTCTCAGGCGCGAGGTCCGTCTGCGTTTTTCAAATAACGGTTAGAAAGAGTCTTCAAATACGTACCGAGATTCCTTACTTGGCGAATGCAGAAAGAATTCTGTATTTTGTTTTTCGTTTCACTTTTCAGCACTGTGTACGTGCAAAATTAGGCGATAAATAAAATGTGACTCGTTTATATGTTTAACGAGAGCGTCATTGCATGCCAGCGGTATCCTCGAGTTGTATGACCAAACAAGAGCGATCGGTTTTCTATGTGTTCGCTAATATCGAGAAGAAGACCTTCGCTTTAAGGAAAGTAAATTATAAAAATAATATCTTGCAAGGCAATAAGTCATGCAGCATCGATCGCATACAGTCGGATTTTCACGGTATTATCATTTCGTTATCATCGTTACTTTTCTTGTATGGTCTTGCATAAAATCTAATACCGCCAAACGAGGATATACATAATTAATCCCTAAATGCACATCATTAATTGTCCATTTGACAATCGACTCGTTATTCCACTTCCAGTGTAGCGTTTTTATTTTCATTGTTGTGCGAAAGCAAACAATATATAATCACAGTCGGATGCATTTAAAGATTAATCGTAATGGAAACTCGGGGCTACTGCGAAGAAGTAAACAATTCTATCAATTGTATCCGACAATTGGAGTCACGAATTCATCCAAAGAGTATTGATATATAACGTCTTGCGGGGAACAATATTATTCCTGACGACTCCACTTGGACTATTGGATGCTCAAATACTCGCACAACGTCCCAACGATCCGAAATAGTCACATATCGATTGAGCGCGTCGCTAGAGTTCTCAAAAATTCGAAGTGTTGAAAACGGACAGTCAAAATCGCAAGGTGGTACTAGTACAAAGGCGTGACCCACTCTTACGATACTTGCGGTGGTATCCTCGTATCTGTGTGCACGAGTGCGGCATAAAAGATTATCTCGTGTACGCACGCCACATCTTGCACATGGACGAAATGAGAATTTTCCAAGTTCGGATGCATTACGACAAAGAAAACGAAAAAGAATTATGCCTTGCGATTAATGATGAGACACTGCTTGCACAATATAAGCAATCGTGCATTAAGGTTCGAATTGTCCTCATGCAATAATTTTCGACTACGCTATTTGCGTGGGCCTCGACAAATCAACTTCACATTTGGTACCTCATGACTTCAATGAAGATCGTTTTGCGATCTTATGGTGTGAAAATTACAAAATATTTGTCAATAATTAATTTTCTTCGATATTTGTCATCAAATATCTTCCTCTCTCTCTCTCTCTTTCTCTCTCTCGAAGGTGAGAAAGAGGCATGCAATGATTGTGCATTCCTTCTAATGTATCCATGGAAAGACGTGAGCACGAAGCGATGAACGGATGGATGATCTTATTACTCAAGCTTGATCGACTATTCCTCCAGCACAGGAAAAATTTATTGGAGGAAGTGTTCTTCAGTTCTTTTACAATAATTCATACCGAATGAGCAAGCGATCCAAGCTACGAGGAGTATACGGCAATAATGATAACACTTTTCGCATGGATACAATTCTCATTTCAACCAAAAAGATTCATCACGATACGATGCCAAGTATGTCTCGCACATTCTCGTATCGGCACACCTGACTTCTCATACGATACCAACGTATAGCGTACAAAAAAAACCGCATTTTCAGCCCTGGACCAGAGTCGCGAAGAACGAAAATTCAGATTTCGTTAATTTCTCATTATCGAGAAAGTTAAAAAAAAAATTTTATACATGTACCGAAATGTTGAAACACTTTACACTGCAATCGACATTCAAGACAGTTTTTCAGCACAAATGTGATGTATATTACAATAAACAAAGATAAGATTTTATATATTAAAAAATATTCCACTTAATAAAATGGACATACTAATTAAAGATTTGTAACTGACTTTATGAGCAATAACTTCACCGTTCGAAATATCAAATGAAATGCGCACGACTCCGGTCAGGGGTCAATGTAAAGCCACACACGACTTACCTTGGACAGCTTTTCGCCCTCGTTACGCGGCAGCAACGACCTCAGCGATTGGAACCCGGCGTTGATACTCTGCATACGGCGTCGCTCGTTGCTGTTGGCGATTTCTCGCCGCATTCGCTTCTCCTGCTCCATGTGGCTGCGCGACGTAGCACGGCCGACGTTGCTGATACCGTTGCCGTTGCTCAACGCAACGTTCTGACTAGCAATCCGTCGACCAGTCCCGACGTTACCTTTTGTTTGCGGCAATTGTTGCCGCTGCTGCGGTTGCTGTTCTTCAGTATCAGCGACTTCGGCGACCGTCACACTCGTGGTCACCGAGCCGTCGTCCACCGTCTCGACGCTCCTGCGGACAAATGAAATTATCGATTACAGATTTGTTCTTCACACAATTCGGAGCCTGACATCTCGACTTAAGCGACAAATTATAAGCGAAATCTTACTAGTACGGCAAATGCGTTACGTGCAATGAAGACGACTTGATACTTGAAACCATCTTACTTCTTCAATCGTCAAACGCGTATATTCTTTTATACAGTTATATTAAATTTGTCTAGATAACCAAGGGCTTCACGTTAATCACGCGTAATGCTGACGTTTCAATCTTTAAATACTAAAAGGCTGCGATCCTTGAACTCTCGAATCTTTATATATTTATATCTACGTCAATTTATTTTAATTACCTCGCATGCAAACAGCTACGCTTATCATCGCTTATTAAAAAAAGAAGACATTTCCGACGGGCGATAAATGTCCATGGTCAAAGTATTCCGCTACGACTATCAATGAGATAGAGCCCGAATCAGAGTGAACGAGAAAGAGAGAGAAAGAGGACACTGATACACGCGTACGCGCATCTGACACGAATAACACGTGGCGTCTCGTCGAATTTCCTCCGCCGCGATTGAGATCGAACGCGGAGCACCCGCCCCGTCTTGTGTCTCGTAGCGCGAGAGCTTTTAAGGAAATTGAAAGCAAGGAGGTGCTTTTTTTCTCTTTCTTTTTACTTCGGCGAACGCGCGCGGCGAACGACGACGACGACGACGGGACTTGTGGACGGTTGAATTCGCGGTCAATGAAGCGAGACGTCGTTGACGCTTCTCGACGGCAGCTTCAAAGGCTTCTTCGCGCGCTCCCGACCGCTCGCACGTCCGCAAACACCTCTCTACCCCGGCCGTACGGAATCTGTGATTTGATAGGCCACTTAGATTTGCTAACATCATTATCTTTTCCTTTTACACGCCGCTAAAACGCGGCGTTTAATGCTAATCTGCCGATTATGTTGACCGTACTAATTAATAAAATGTGTGAACCTAGAACTGCACGTGTGTACAATGCTGTAAGCATCTGAATATGTACATCCCGATAGCTATCGACACCTAGGGTAATATTTAGCTATTAAGCGAGGAATTCGGCAAACGGAGCCGTTGCTCCGATTTAGGAGAGTCGCGAAAGAGTCGACGAAGGACTGTCGAAGTAAATAGACGTGCGAGAGACACAAAGGACTGTGAATCGAAAATTCGAGCAAGTGCGGAATTTCACTTATATGTAGTCGAGCAAAGGCTATTAATTCTTACGGGTTGTTAAACGAAAGTTTAGTTTATACCAATACTGTTTAATCATTTTCAGTGTATGTTTAATATTAATAAGTGTTACCAAAGTGAAAACCTGATCTCTATTTAATCCGCGCTACCTAAAAAGAAAAAATCCTAACCAAAATCCTTTCGATCCTTACAATGCTTTGCATTTTATTTTAAAATTGCCGTGTGTTCTTCAGCAAACATTTCCGGCCTATCTCATCTCGTATTCGTAACACACTACGTAAAGCCGTAACGTGCTTTAATAACGTGAATTGTCACGCAAATAATAACGCACGTATATTATAACGGAGAGAGTCTCGTCGTAAAGGTCAGCTGCAAGCACGTGACGGAAATTCCGTTCATATTTACTTGCGCTCGAGATAATTGTAATTGCAGATAGGCAGGCCGCAGAGTTCAACAGGGGTTTCAGGATTTCATGTAAAGTCAAAATTTCGCAATAAAACTGTTGACAAATATAAAGAGTTTTATACTTTCACTTTTCTTCAAACCGACTTGATCACTTCGTTAAATTCATTCCAGCTCTTCAAATGCAACTTTCCTTATTTTACTAACGTTTGTGCCAATGTCAGTTCGTTAATTTCATTCGTTTAAAACAAGCATTCGTTAAATCATTTTAATTTAACATTCGCGTAAAGAACAGAAAGTACAAATTAATGAAACTGATTATTAATTATTGTTATTACACGCAAACGTCATTTAATTCATAAATCCCTCGTGAATCTTTCAGGATACATGCAGGATCGAAAAATCATTTTTCTATTAAAATTGATAGGAAGGATACGTTCCTCAAATCTATCAAAGTTATATACGTGTCATTATGTGTGATTACACGCTGTAGTCTGCTCCGGGGAACTTATAAATAAGTTAGCAAAGTCCTTAATAATGCAATGCTCATTCCGTAGCATTGTAGACTAACTTGTAGGTAAAGTCGGTAAATGAGGAAACAACAAACAGCTGGGAAAATTATACGTTAACGAGCAGCAGTAAGAAAAGCAATGAGAAAGAGAGCCAAGGAGGGGAAAGATCGAGATGGCGGGTATAGCGCCGCGAGGATGACTCAGCAGAGAGGACCGTGACCTTGCCCCTTGCTCCGAAACCGCCACGTGTCGATAATACAAACGAATGTGAAAGCTGTGTCCGCCAAAAAATGATGGCGTAATCATTTTTGTTTACAGTACGATCATTTACAATACGTTCCTCTCATAATACTCGAGTAATAGCGCCCGGTATAAAAATAATGGAGCTTGTTGGGATTGCATTACGTCAGGTGCGAATAAAATCAATTCAAGTTGCAAGTCAGAATAATTTAAATCACGATCCTACTGAGTCGTAAGTCAAAATAACAGAGTAAGATGTTGTTTCAAAAAGTGACTTATTGTCGACGCAAACATAGACAAGAGACTCGAGAGATATACTACTGATGAACTTTTGAACAACATAAAAAAAAGAACCGCTTATTGTTCATAAAACGTATTACCGAAAGACTATAACGACACGTAAAAATAGCAAGAGCGTCTTTAAATGTCACGACGCTTCATTGACCGCTTGTCACTTGACCAGTAATTTTCTTTGGTTGAAATATTAACAGTTACTCATTCGAAGATGTCACTCAAATACCGCGGAACTACGACCACACGCGCAAAGGCATAATCGTACATCATGCCGCGATGTAATAACGCTTTCAAATCACAATCGTCCATCAACGATTTTACAATGGCCAAAGCGTGTTATAACGCAGCATTATTCCGCAATTTAGCTCTCGTTCGACATTAGCTGTTGGCTACGTCTTCGAAAACAGACGATCTTTCTGCCACGATGCTAAATATACCCTTCGCCACTCGCGAATTAAAGCGATACGGAACGTCGATAACGTGACATTTCATAGCTGATGATGTCGCTTGTCCGTACGTTTTGCATTAATTTCGGCACTGCTGCCTCCCGTCATAGTCGCCGACATTTCAGTCACATTATTGCCATCGTACAACATCCGTCAGAGCCAATACCGCCGGGTATAACATTACAATAAATCACGATTCCATTACGCTCAATACGTATTGCCATTTTCGAAAACGACCGTCTTGCCTCGCGATAAACGCGGCTGAATTGTTCTGAGCAGCACACGAGGGATTGAATCAGGCCGCGGCATTCATCGGCGATCATTCATAACGGCACGTGGAGGTCCACGGAACCAGAAATCCACGTGGCGTACTCTCTCATCGAGTGGTTATATTAGATCAGCTGGTACGCCGGCGGCTTGCTGGCTGGATGGTTGGCTGTCGTGACGTCAGCTCGTTCGTTCGCCGGATACCCGCAGAGCGCTCGCTCGGCCAGATCAGTTGTGGCGAAGTAGGTCGGCGAAGTGGATAGAGCTACCTTCCTTTTCACCCTGAAATCCTGCCACCCGTACGAGGGAGAACGCGCGCGCTAAAGATAACCCTACGTCGCCTCTATTCTTCGTATCTTGTCAGTTCGGTTCGGTTATCTCCTGAATCGTGCGCCGCTTACATTCACGGAGAGAGTTATCTCTCTCTTTCTCTCTTCCATAGTCATCTTTTTTACTATACATGTACGTTATCCTCTTATGTCTCATTGCTTGGTACATTTTCTCAATTTCTTTCTCTAATTTTGATATCGCCTCCTTATATTATAATCTTTCATAATATCGTTAGCAGTTTTCTTGTAATTATATTTAACCTCACACGTGAAACTTTTTTCTTCTTATTAGTGACAGTCCTAAATAATTTTTTCGCTCTCTGTATCACTCGTGACAATCAGTCGATAAGTAATTGACTAACGAGTAGAGATTAAATCGCCAATGTCCATTTTCATCTCTTAATGTTCGGTATTCGTAAATTTCGCGCACAGCTGTGAATATTACAGCTCTGGATATCACAGCTGTGATTAACCGTTGTTGCTTGTGCCACAACCATAATCAGCAGTCGAACCCGCAGAAGATAATTTCTTACAAGGTTACATGATACTCAGACCACACATGCCGTTGAATTATCTTTGATGATAAAAAAAATGGAAAAAGAGAGAGGCAGCAATATATTGGTAAACTTTAGTGATATACGCAAGCACACAAATGATATTGAGCAAACGAGAAACAACATTTCGAAAAGCTATCGCTGAAGCAAATCGAAAATATCTTATTGCAGTCGTACTTAAATATATTTCAAACAAATTTTATTGTCACCTCGAGATTTTCTTGCAATTAAAATATGACGAAAAACCGTTGGAGATTAATTTCTCTTTACAACAGGCGTTTGAAAATTGGTTAACTGTAGCATCGAAACAATCATATTGTTACCATTATATCTGTCAATAATTTATCAGTGGCGATTATTTGTCGGCGAATAAATACACTTTAGAGGACATCCGCTGGCCGCGCGATTAGTTCCAATTATAAACCCGCACGTTGGGCAATGACGACGATAAAAAAAAAGGCAAAGATAGAGTGAAGAATAAAGGACAAGGGAGGTAGCGGTGCACCGACTCGCTCGGGGCCTCTGTCCAGGTGCATGTGCACCCGTTGGATTTTCACCGATAGGCGGAAAAAGCGTGTTGAGAGCGCTTTCGTGAGACGCGACGCGGACAACGGCATGCGCGCATTCTGGCGCACGCGCCCGCTAGTGTTGGTGTGTATGTGTGTGTGTGTGTTACGACGCGCGCGACTGTGTGTATCCGTCCGCGGCGAACTCTCAGTCGACTCGCTCGCGTGAGTCACCAACAGCTGATGGCTGGC